TTTTTAACATGCTCCTGAATTTGGATCTAAATCAGACACAACATATGATACAAATGTGTTACCGCCTGTGTATTTCTTCTTTAGCTGAGTGTTAGCAACTTGTATAACATCTTTTTTTTAGAATCAGAGGAGGACGAAGTGCTGAGTAGCTTACTGATTCCTCTAATGGAGAAGAGTTCAATACTGTGCTGCTCGGAAAGGACATATCAAGTGTGACTTGCAGGGAACCAGATCCAGAGCTCCAACTTAGAAGGGAATGCCCCAGATGAGCACAGAGACATACCGTGAACTGTATATCATGTTATACTGCATTTGTCCTTCTATTTTGGGTGAGCTAGATCGGGTCAGCCCCATCTGTTAAGACCCAATTACAAACTGAAGACCATCAAGAGGTCAGCCCAAAGTGCTATTACTGTATTACAATTATAATTGAGACCATTAGCGCTCTGTGTGGTCCAAAACACAAACAAGGCTAAAGGAAGTAATGCATTGAATTAAATAATAACCTCGATTAAAAAACTGGGGTATTATCAGAGAGCTTTTCTTAACATTTAAGCTCCAGGAATTTTTCAGTCAATCGCACCTTCTCAAAGTCCACAGCACCCGTTACTCCATTGGACAAAGTAAATATGTAAGACCTGAGGCAGCAGAGTGCAGCTGAACACAGAGGAGGCTGTAGGGAGCCACAATTGCTCCAAAATCTGTTTCTGGTGCTAAAATTGTGAAAACCATGAGAAGAGGAAGAGAAGGATGGAGTAAGAGCCCGGAGTGTGCCTCGCTGCCCACCTGTTCAAACAGGCTTTAAAGTTTAATCACCCATGGTCTCTGCTTGGGCTTGTGATTTTTCCCTTTTTCTTATGTCTTATTTTGTACACATAGGGTGATGCCAAGGAAGAAAGGACTGTTAATAGTTTAGATATTGACAATAGCACATGTCTGTACTTTCCTGAATGTATTACAATGTCCTACTGTATAGTGGAGTATTTAACAACATTCTAATGTATTACTTTTACTGTACAGTTAATGTTCCCTTTGTTAATTTCACACACACGTATAACAACCATTTAAAAAATAAAATGGTAGAAAAGGAAGAAACAATTTAATCAGATAATAAGCTGCGGAGAAGAGAAAGAAAATCACACAAGGGCTACTGGACATTTGTCACAATTTCCTGAATGGGTGCGGACAGGTGAGCGTCTGTGGTGAGGCAGAGAGGAGGACAGAAGGAGTGGGCGGAGGTAAGTAGAGTAAAAGGATGGATACAGTTGTGGGGCAGATTGGGAGGCGTGTAGCGAATGAGAAAAAGAGAAGACATTTAAAAGAGGTGCAGACATAAACAGGGTTTTAAAGGACTAACAAGATTTGCTGCAAAGTCGTCCTTGAGCTCCAAACACCGAAATCTCAACAAGTGGATGTGACATTTAGCTGTTAAATCTAGACGAGTCAATATGGGATGGAGTGGATATCTTAAAACCCCCGGAAAAAAACTGAAATAGTAGTTTTCTGCTTTACTTGTGTGCTGGACATCTCACTTGTACAGGAGGATGATAGATGGAGGGTCTCCTGAGAAAATAAAATGCATATCAGTTGATTGATGGGCATCATCCAGACAATAGGGAAGTGTAATATCGGCTTCATCTGAGATGGAAATTGGCAGAGGAGATTAATTTAGTAAAAATGTGGATGTAAAGATTAAAGAAAAAGCACTGTAAGTAATAACTGTTGGCAAATAATGTAATGTATGTTGTCTGAGAATCTCCCTAATCTATCACTTCAAATGACATTGTCATGTCATTCCACACAAACAACACACATTTCCCCCCAGTTTTCACTAATAGAGAGGTTCTGGGAAAAAGAGATAAAACAGACAAAGGGTGAGCCAACAGAGAGGGAGAAAGGGGATTTACTGTATCACCACTACTTGTTAACAGCTGTATCAGTTGGTCTTAGTTCAGAAAGGGGAAGGATTCCGACAGCTGGTGTGTGTGTGTGTGTGTGTGTGTGTGTGTGTGTGTGTGTGTGTGTGTGTGTGTGTGTGTGTGTGTGTGTGTGAGGGGGAACTGGGTGTGGAGCCTTGACCAAGGGCAGAGGACAGAGAGAGGGAGTGTGGTAGCTGGAAATTCCCCAGACTCTTTCTGTCTTTAAAACAAAAGAAATAATGTCCAACATGTCATTTTAAGAAAATATCAACAACCTCTGCTGTCTCAGTGTTTTTCCTCATCGATTGTTGTCAAAATGTCAAACACCAGCATTTGTGAGAAATAAATGTGGCGGCAAGACAAAGAGCGAGCAGAAAATAAAAGATTCTAAATCTACACAAGACCATTTTAAGACTTTAATTCTAATTATCATTGTGAATGTTGTTCATGTTGTTCACTTGTTGATACTAAATGTATATCATAAGTTAAAGTCTGATACAGTTATATTTGCATAACTGGACTCGCTTGTTTTCTTGGTTGTTTACAAATATGTGAATTAATTAATGCCAGGTGTGTAGACATTGTGTACCCTCAAAGAAATATCTAAAAAACAAATGATTATCTTCAGTTATTTTTGATTAGGCAGACAAAAGGGAATTTGGCAAGGGGTACAGAAGGTAAAACATTATAGAAACAGCATAGCAACTGATATTTCTAAATATAACCATCAGTAATGTCTAAGTCTCATCTAAAAGCTGATCCACAGGAGCAGACAGTTCTCAGTTAAGGTTGCTTGTTTACACCCAGTGTCATACAAGGATAACATAAAGAGTATAAACAATATATTATACATTTATATCATGTTGTTCGTTTATTTTAGTTTGTGTTGTTTTTTATTATATTTGGGTATCAATTGAGAATCAATGAGAAAAAAACAGGGAATGTCATCGTCACACTAATGAACAAAGCAGAAAAAGTGCAACCTAGATGTGGGGTTGTAAACAATGTTTTCTAATGAATACAACACAGACGATGGGACTGACAAAACAAACAGACGGCAGGGTGGAGAGGGGGGGGGGGGGTGTAGAGAAAGTGTGCTGAACTACTCAGCAACAGCCACTCAAGTCGTGACGTGTTCACGGTGCTTCCTGCAGCGCTTTAACCCGGGTCCTAGAGACAGTATTTGAGCTTTCTATTCGCTACTTGGCGCTGTTGCTATGGGGCTGTGCATGTTGAGCCGTGCACGTTGCGCCGTGCATGAAAAACAGTTTGTGTGTGCTGAGTTTGGATTAAGGGCAGAAAGTGTTAGGAGCGGGGTGACGAGCCCGCATCAACAGTGCAACATGATGAAACGTGCTTTTATTTTGGTGTCACTGTTTTGTTGTTGTTGATGATGTCGCTGTTGTTTACCTTATTACTGTTCACCATCCAATACTGTAAATAAAACGTTTAGGCTACTGTCTGGCTTGTGGTGTGTCTGGGATGGTGACCTTGTTGAACTTTATGGGTTTAATGGCAAATATTTTATCACTTAACGTGTTTTATAAATACGTTTTATTGTAAGTAAAGAAGGCTAGCTGAGTGACATTTATTTCGATGTTATAAATGATGGGGTGTGACAAAGGTAGGCTATGTTGTTCGCCAGTATAGTGAGTAAATATGTTGACAATAACACCTCTCATTCTATGTGACATTAAAGGACAACAAAGATACATGCGGCGTCTTCAGTGGTAAAACAACATGTTATAGGGACCTATTGGTCATTATTTTAAATATCTATATTTCTATAGACAACATGGTGCCCTTCACTACATCTATAGTCACAAACAGTTGTAATGACTTTCTGACAATGTTAAGAAAGGTTATTTTGGCAATATGAATAGCCTACAATTGATATAAAAGTATAGAAATGATTGCTTAGATTAGTTTTTTTACATGTTTTAATCAAACCATGGTTGTACAATTATTATTTTTGGTGTGATGTGGCACCCTATGTTATTCTTGTAAAATTCAACCTTGTATTATAGTTGTTATAGGGGGAACAATAGACAAATAACACAAGTAACACAAATCATCAGATCAAAATGATAGCACACCTATCACAGACAACGCTATTTATTACAAGTTTGTATAATTAACTAAAATAAATGTTTCTTAATTGTATAACGTAAAGCTGAATAAATAACCGGACACACCAAAAGGAGCTCAGTCTGCTTTTAGATCACACCCAGCAGCGCTCGCGCCACACGCTCCATCGACCGGGCGTGCTTTGATATCTCGCGGAGCCGCCACAGAGCGCGCGGTATGAAATGAATGAGAATACGACACCACATGTGTGCTCAAACTCTCAAAGTCTGGTCTGTGGCATTTTACAAATACCGGACCAATAAAAGACATGTGTCTTCCAGAATCACACTTGGTAAAAAAGAATACTGTGATTTAAAGGGGAGGACCGGTTATTATTGTTTTCCCCTCGTGGATGATGGCGTAAAAGGGGTGTGTGCAATGTCAGTCTCGGACAATATTGAGAAAATCACCTGAAATAAAAAAAACAGGTGAAAACCATCAGATGGCATTTAATTAATAAAAAAAATAAAACATTAAATAGATACTTTCTTTCATACGATAAAAAAAAAATCCGTGAGAAAATCGATTCGTTTTTTTGTTCGGGAAACAAACAATTCTTCGACATTAGATATCCATGCATATATGTATATTTTTAGATTTGAGTTAGAGCCAACACTGTTTAATAAAACATGTTCTGATTCTGCTGGTGTTATCCCCAGCTAGAAATTGGTTGCCAAGCATTGCATCATTCCTTTCATGTGACTCCCATACGCCCCAAATTCGTCCTGGCCGTCTTATGACTGCATCACAATTGCTGCTCACACAAACTATGCAGGATAGAGCGAAAACCAGCCGTTGGACCCCGCCTCCGTTTGGATTTGGCTCACCCTATTGGATGTCGTTAAGGAAAATATCTCAACTCCACTCTCCTGATTGGACCACTTCAACGCCTATTACTCTCATATGGGGATAGGTTGTGATCTACCTTCTCATGCATAGTTCGGTTGGCCTCTCTCTCAATATAAACACCGCCGGGAGTTTCCGAAGAATCACATTCAGCCGTTCAAGACTGTACAATGGTTAACATGAGCTATCACCAATTTCTACTAAAATATCCACATTCGAGCTCAAGACAGTCGAGACGGCGAACGAATAAACGAAAAAGGGTAAGTGGGCATTCGTTTTTTTATAGTTTGCTGCGAAGAGGAAGTCTGTTTTTAAGTATTTTGGGGAGTAACGGAGACTAAACTTGAAGTGGGCTGGTGGAGAGAAAAAAGCAAGAATTTGGCAGATTTCCCAGTGCCAATTTTAGAAAAAACAGTTGTCTTAATCCATCATAATTTACACGGAGTGATTTTTCTGTGCTGTCCGCTTCTGTTTGACAAGTTGTCAACGCTTGTACGGACTTAAAGTTGTTTTTATGTTTTTTTTCTATTGAGCGTAACTAACAACCGTTTAAAAATGATAGTGTGAATTTGATAGACAAAATGTTTTGCCTTGATTATATTAAGTGTCATTTCATTTGAACAAAATACCATATCAGCAAACCCCGTGTAGCGTCTGACAGGAGGAGTCTATATGGCTCGAAACGGAACGGCTTTTATTTTTGACAGCTACCATTTTTCACACATTTAACTAATACTATAATGGTAAATGTTTACCAATTAATGAATATATATTGATATCTCTTTCTCTTTTTCCCAACCCACTCCTGTCCTCTCTCTTTATTTTAGTTTCCTTTTGTTTCGCCCATTCCTCCTGCTGGACATTCATTTCCATGACGTAACTGTCTTGGCTTACATGTAGCCCAACTAAAAAAGTAAATATTAACATATAGAAAATAAATGATTATAAAATAGTTTTAAAGGAAAATAATTGGTACGGTCTGTTTTGCCAAACCAAATGTGTGAAGTTTAAAATGTATTATCAGGTTAGGAGGATTTCTTATATTTAATCAGTTTTGTAATTCATCAATTCAGTAACAATGTTTTTATTTTTTTTGTAATTATATTTGCACAATAAAAGGAGGAGGAATTCTATTTAGATGAAATGTTTCATGTTAAAAGCTTTGTATACAATAATTAAATAAATGATGTTGTTTTGTTTGAAACCTTTAGGTACTTAGAGCTTACGTCATTAATAAAAGCAGTAAACCTGACTGTCAAACCTGAGGGATCAATATAAAGATCTATTTATCGTTTAACCTCTTGTTTATCGATCCAAACGTGTTTTGAGGACCGTAGAAAGCAGGGGGCGCACTAGGGAACATAATGGTCTTTGTTTACAAGCATTACGTGACAGATCTTTATATTCTCCATCCATGTTGATCAATTTAACATTTGTAAATGATAAATTATTGAAATTTGATTTTCGTCCTTTTCCAAAAAAGCCATCCATTTAAAAAAAAAGAAAAAAGAAGGCATATTAACCCGTGTTTCCTTTTGTGCAAATCATCAGTTTAATTCTGAAATCTCAGCACATTTCATGCACCATATTTTCAAAGACTTACTTTTTGAATATTTATTTTCTCTTTCAGGATTGTTGGGACAAGCTATCTCCAACAAATTGGCAGACTTGATTAACAGAGACTTTTCTAAAGGTAAATTCTCCTATTTTACATTCTTAATGCTGCCTGTTTCTAGAATCAATATTTTGATTAAATACTTTTTTGTTTTCATATTAACTTCGTGTTAGTTATCAACATTTTCAATACACATATTTTCCCCGCCTTAAAATGCCGATTTATTAGCTTTTTGTATTGCAGTAAAGTCATTACCTCCCTTAGTCTCACCGTGATTTAATGTACTGTAGTCTAGTTTTTATTCATCATGGTATTATTATTATTATTAGGTCTTCTTGTAATAGTCTCAGTAAAAGTTCACCCCATCCTTTATCGATGCATACCTACAAACTATAACTCAACCAGTTGCAGAGCAGTAAAAAATGATCAAGGCAGAGTGTCTGTAACATTCTGCCCCCCCCCCCAGGTCCAGTGTGAACCGTGTGGCCGAGTACCTGTGTGTTGCGACTGACTGGCGAGATGACTGCCGAGTGGCTACACCTGCCCCCGCCGTACCCCCCTGGCGTGGGGCCGCTGTGTGGTGCAGAGTTGGAGGCGTGGTATGAGGACCTGCAGGATATTCTGGGCTCCGACACGGGAGGGGCAAAACTGGCACGTGCCCCCACATGCACCGAGGTCAGTAGCTTGAAGAGTGAAATGTCTATCACACCCTTGAGGAGTGTGAGTGTTTGTTGTCCATCGTACTTTGATCAATTATTTATTTTTGCTTTGTTTTACCATTCTGTTAAAAAGTTGTATTCATTCACATACTGAGTGATGGTTATTCACCTTAGACTGTGATGTTTGATGTGTTTTGGCCGATGTTGACGTTTGCGTTTTGTGTTTGTAGAAAGAGCCGGAGTTTCTGGATGTTCTGGAGAGTTGTTCCCTGACGTGGCTAACGGACGGAGGCCAGACGTGGGGCGAAGGGGTCCAGAGGACAAAAGAGCAGATCCACAACCCCCAGCCTCTGCACCACACCTCCTCCCCATCATCCTCTTCCTCCTCCTCCTCCTGCATGAGTCCAGCAGTTGCAGAGGAGCAGCGGCCAGAGGCTGAGAGTGGGAGAAGTGGCGAGAGTTCCTCAGGAGGCGGCAGTGATCTGCTGCCTCCTGAGTTTTTCGAGTTGCTGAGTGAAGGAGGAGTGGGAATGGTGGATCCGAGCGGAGCAGTGATCAGCGGTGGCTATTATTACCACCACCATCACCAAGCTAATAATGTCTGCCCTGCGTCCCCCTCAGCCAGCGAGGAGGAACTGCCCTGTGTCCCCGATTCTCCATCCAGCTCCTCCTCAGCCTCCCAGTCCCCATCTCACAATTGTTCTTCTCCCTCCTCACCCGTTTCTTCTCCCTCTGACTACCAGTCCTCCCGTCTGGGAAAACGCAAAAGGACAACCAGCGAAAGGACCAACTGTGCCTTGTCCTCTTTTGCCTCCTCCACACAGCTCACATCCTCATCATTCTCATCTGCCAAAAAGAGTCGCAAAGAGAAAGAGCAGGAGAACGAGAGGAAGGTACAGGAGCTGACTGAGCAGAACGAGCGCTTGAAATCTGAAATTGACAGGCTGGGAGAGGAGGTACAAAGGACACGTAGAGCCCTGATAGAGAGACTAGTCAACACCAGGAAATGAGAAGAATGATGCACAGGATGGAAGAGAGAAATGAAAGATGACAGTTCCTACAGAATTGGATTAAGCAGTGGTGGGAAACAGGTCAACATGAAATGCCTCTTAGAAAGGAAGGAAACCAAAGATATATTTTATAAGCAAGAGGATTTTTGGGAAAACACAGAGCTTAAAATGGCAAGTAGTAGTGAAAGTGATGAAAGTCAAGACGAGAAGGGGCTGCAACAGCAATGCGGCAAAATAAAAGACACAGCATGTATAAAGGAAGAACAGACAGCTCTAAGTGCAAATGATACTGTGGTTTTGAAGAATGTTTTTTAAAGAATGCCTAACACTAAGTTCAATTAAATAAGATAGCAGAAATTGTTACGAGCATTGGATTTTTTTGTACGTTGAACAAAAAGGAATTGAATTGAGAGAGTGCATTTCATTGTCATCCATTCCCACCATTTTGCAATAATTGTAACTCCTACGTTAAGGGCTGCGATTAGGCTAGCAGAGATTATTTGCCCCAATTTGTGGAGACTATAGGAGCTCAGGAAAAGTCTGAAAGTGCCCAGTGTGAGTATGAGAGAATGATTTTTTTTTTGTTGAGATAATTCATAATCTTTCTTACTTTTGTATAACCCATGGCTTGTGTGTATGTGTATTTAGATAAAGTTAGTAGGACCCGGCTATACTTTGTCAGCTGAACCTTTTCTATCAATATGGGGATTTGTAGAATAATAACCACAAATTGTTATACCCTGATTTACTATTTTTATATAACACTGTAATACATATACTGTAATGGCTTGTACTGTATAAAGCCAACATATCATCTGTTATTTTCCCATTGCATTCACAAAAACTGTTAAAAGTAGAATAATACCGGTATGCATGTCGTTTACCATTGATAGCATTAAATACATGTATTTTCCCATACCGTTTATTTTATCCCTCATTGTAATCCCAAATTTGCAATAAAAGAAACAAATGTGCAATTTCTTGTGTCATGAATTGTTTATTTGTTTCCCTTAATAAATTAATTTATATTATTAGAAAATAAGGGTAATTGAGAATTGAAAAGACAATTTCAGATGAAATAAAACAATTTTATTTTCTGAATCCAAAAAGGATATTTGTAGCAAAAGAAAAACACAATTTTCCAGAGGATATAAAAAAAAATCTTTAAAAATGCGCAACACACCTTCCAACGCTAATATAGTATGCTGACTATCACAGGGAGAGTATAAAATCAGTTTCTTTTGGTGTAGGGATTTGGAAAAATCCCTCCTTTCTGTAGTTGTATTCATTTGAGTCTCTCTTTGTGCGTTTTCATTTCCCCGTCGGCCTATCCAGCATTTCATTAGTCCTCAGTGCCAATACCACATTGTCTTAGATCCTGTCACGGCTTTGCCTTAAGCTAATACCCTCACATCTCTCTTAGTGTACATCTTGTTCCTGTTTCCCTACAATCATACCTCAAACCATTCTACTCTTCCTTTCCTCTCAATAACCTCCATCATTTAGCTTTCCCTTTTTACTTCCCGTCTCACTTCTTCTTGCCCTTCTGAGGTGCCGGGTCAGAGCTCTTCCCCTCAGCCAGAGCCAGCTGTTTCTTTAGGTCCAGCAGTTTGGCCACCTCTGCTGTGATCGCCGCCTTCTCCGCTTTCTGGGCTTTGAGTTCTCGCACCTTCTCGCCCTATGATAGAAACAAATGACAGTGTTGAAATTGAATTTTGACGCCCAAATGTGTCTTTGATTAAACATTTGAGATTCTAAGGACGGATTGATGTTGGAAGCTTTTTTGTCGAATATAAAGTAATTAACCAAGGCGGCAATTTGAGAATTTTGTAAATGTAGGTGTTTGTCTGGGTTCAGAAATACTGAGAAATTAAACGCTTGATTCCCAAAAATGGAACCGCCGCATTTGCCGTTGTAAGTTTAACGTTAAATTCAAATTTCATTTCAAATGAAATGATTATGATCAATTAATTACAATCTTAAGCATTACCAGATACTTTTTGAAATAGAGTTACTGATCAAATTTAGCTTTAAAAATGTGTAGTAATTTAGTCAGCGGCCTGTAGTTTGTTGCAGCCGTGATTAGATGTTTACGAACATCGCGTTTGTTCCCGTACGGCCAAGAAGACATCACATTTTTTAAATAGACAAAACAATAAAATAAAGTTAATCTTGTTCTCGTAAAAGAATGTTTCACATTTATTGAAAAAACCCCGTAAGAATTGGGTTTACAGTCTATAGCCCGTGTGTTGCCACTAGCCAGCGTTCTCACCTGCTCAGCCACAGCCTGAGTGAGCTGCTTGGCTTTCTCTGGGTCTGCTCCGATCCCCGCTACCACCTCAGCAGCAGCAGCTGGCCCAGCGGCGGGCGGCGGGCTGCCAGCGCTCTGAGCGGTCTTCTGAGTGCGGAAACAGACAGATGAAGATGTATGAATTTGAGGCGTTTATGGTTATTATTTCAAGAGATTACTTACTTCATTTCAGACAATATCACTCATCACTCAAAATGTTGATGGGAGTTTACGAGTCATGAAGTGTGTATGGACATTAAAACACACAGCATTCAAAGGGATTAGTATAAAAACAAAACATCTGAGGATGTTAGACAAGCTGCTAGTGTTAGTGAAGGCATGCAGTAATCAATATTGACACAGCATAACCAACGCGGACTGACTCAACGCAAACAAATGCCGCTCAATACCTTTTTTTTAGGCGGTTCATCGTCAGGCTAGAGGCAGGCGATTGAGCAGAGGGTTAAGAGAGGGATTATTTGTTATCTATGTGATGGATGCTTCATACATAATTCAAAAACGTATAGTGTGTTAGCTCCGTAACATGTTTCAAAAGATAGATGCTTCGAGTACGGACACATTCTTATTTGTGATGATAGTTTGACAGAAACCCGTTAACGACTGCGCGTGATCAAATTCTTTCTTATTTCATTATTCATAAATAGTCAACCTATATTACAACAAGATCTGACTGAACTCATACACAGACCGTTAGGCATCATAAACATCAAATACCTGCTGTCCACCAAATTTCTTCTTCAAAGCCTCAATCTGGTCCACCTCCAGTTTCTGGAACAAAGGACTGACCTTGGAATTAAAAGGGGGAACAAAAAAGTTGAAATTCAAAAGAATTTAAGAATGAATTAAAAAAGTTGTGATTTTGGATCCAGCCCAGGGCCAGTGTAGCTGGAAAATTTAACCCGGAGGCTCTGTGCTCGCCTTTGAACAAAGAGGATTATGCAAGTGAGTAAAGTAGATAACTATGTCTGAGAAATGTAGAGTTTGGATCATAATCACCACTTAAATGCAGCACCGCGTGAAATGTCAGAATTGTTTTGTGCCCGCAGGAATTGTTTATGATTCATGTAACATTAGAACAGTGTGGTGTACTATTCCTTGTCTGGAGACTTTAGTCACGATTCATGGTAGCCTTGGAGAATCGAATGCAGCGTTGACATTCCGGTCACCACAATTAGGCCTGAAGGGACAAGTGGCCTGAGAGCAACCTGAAGCCTCCAAACACTGTCCAGGCTGTTATTCTCAAGTGTGTGTGTATGTGTTCACACGACTGTTATGTCCTCCAGAGTCTTGAAATATTGACAGACTGTTGCATGCTCATTGTATCACCCAGCATCTACATACAGGAGGCTCCACAGGTGTGTGTGTGTATGGACCGTGTGTGTGTTCTTAGGTCGTACTCACAGTGCCAATGCGGTGGCCGGCACTCAGGGAACATACAAAGGTGCCAGTGCCTTGCAACATGGTATCGACACAAGACTGAGGGGCATTGAACTGATCCCTGATGGTCTGGCTGACCGTCGGCATGTATGGCAGCAGCATCACTGACAGCAAGCAGGCGATGTTCACAGACACACCGGTGACTGTGCCCGCACGCTGCCTGCAGGGGGGGGAAGGGAGAACAGTTCATGTTTGGTAAATCTTACAATTGACAGAAATTACATCTTAAACACTGCTCTTTTAGTTGGCTGTTCATACAAATATTTGTTTCTTAAAATAATCCTTTTTCACATTCTTTTGGTGAGACGTACTTTGTCGTCATGAAATGAGAATTACAAAAATTGCACCACAGCTCTATCTCAATCTTTATGTATTTATATAGCATTTAAAACAACCTCAGTTGACCAAAGTGCTGTACAGGGAATACATACAATATCAAATAACACAATGGGAGTAAAATACACTATCTACCTTGTATAAATCTACAGCAGCGACATATTGTCTTAAGCTGGTCAAGGACATCTCACCTTTCGGTGTCTCCTCCCTTGATCTTCTTCCAGGGTTCATTGAGCTGAATGTACTGGTTGCCATGGCGAGAGATGTTCAAGATATGTCTCAGAGAATCACGGATTCTAGGGGATTTCAGAGAAAACTTGATGAAAGCTGACAAGAGACCCATTCATTCAAATGGACTTTAGTAGAGGTCCAAACATGGGTTTATCTTGTAGAATGTTTTACCCTTACTGAAATACACCCTTTTAATTTGGATAATTTTCAATCAGTGAATATCAACACTTCAACCGTTTGACGGTAATGCCCTTTGCTTAGTCTTACTTGACTTTGTCCAGGAGCTGGATGTACTGCTGCAGCTCCCAGCCCACCAGAGCCAGGAGCCTCTTATCTTCCTGCTGTAGCTCCATAGCAGGCACACAGCCCTCAAAGAACTTGGTGACAAACATGCCAGCTCTGGAGAAGAGAAGAAGCGAGAGAAGGGGGGGGGGGGGGGTCAAAAAATATGAAAAAAAGAAAGAAGAAATAGGGGTCAGGGGGAAATGTGGAGTAAGAGAGGCATCAAGAGAAACAAAGGAAAGAGAAAAATCGCTCAACGGGAGAAGGGTATTTTATTAGACTGGCTTTATATTATAGATTGTGTTGCCGGATGTAACATAATGATCTGAAAGTGTAAACTAACTAACAGTGTGCTTTATTGAGCCAATATACAACTCCTCTACATTGTGGTTGTGTCTCGAGCCAGTCATTTTAGGAATGAGTTTTATGTGCACATCAGGAAGATGTTTGAAGTCAGAACGGTTGTGTCATGTCTGATTGCAACAGACTGTTCTATATCTAAAAAACAACTCAGCCTCTAAGGAAGGTCTGCCATACCATCATCATGTTTACACTGAGCTGTGATTTTGATGTGTGCGACTAAACGTTGAGTGACCTGAATTCTTAATTTGTTTTAATGAGCCTTTTAACTTGTGGAATGACCAAACCCTGAGTTTTTTTCATCCTGGGGCAATAGAGTATTCTGTTACAATAACTGAATCCTCTTTATCAATAAAGTCATATCTATATTAGTTAATCTATTAATTAAGAACCCATTTTGGTGCTGAAGCTGATTGTTTATGGAATAGTCAAAACTGTTTCTACTGAACCGTGATAAGCTAGAGCCAAAAAAAATGTTATGGATTTGAAAAGGCTTCCAAGATGGACACACTGGCTGTAGTTTTTTTAGTCACTAAATCCAGGCAAGGACAGAATTCCCTTTTTTGAGGCAGAATTCTTTTTACCTCCAACACCTAAGGCTGGATGCAATCTACAAGATATTTTCAAACCAATTAGGCATCAACGCTGCTGCCCCAGACCAATTTTGAAGATCAAGGTACTTTGAGAAAAATGCTGCTGAGAAAAATCTTTGATGTGGGATTAAACCCTGATCTTTTAAAAATCATTTGAGGCAATGTAATTGGGGCTAAATTACGCCATCCCAAACAAATTTAGAAAACTAGGGTGAGCCTCTTTTAAGTTACTTTTTTTCAATGAGTACAACAATCAGAAAACTTAGTTGTTAATTGGACTGCATGACAGTTATGTGCTTCATATTTACTTTTGGAGTGAAACTTATTACGTACAAAACGTGGACAACTTGAGGTAGATTGCCCCATTTCTATGTTTTTACTAGTGATTTATCTGAGCCGATCAAATCAGTTGAAATTGAAATTG